TTCCTCAAACTTTGGCTTTTTGTTGAGTACAAGCAGTCTTCACATCAGAGAACAAGGCCTCGCCATTTTCGCTTTGTTACAAAACAGTCTGTCCTGCAAACTTGATCCTGCAAATCTCTGAAGATGTCTGCTTCTTTTAACTCTTTCTTCTTCAGGATGACGTGCTGCTTAATGACAGTCAAACTCTTGGAAACTGCGGCTTCACAAATCAGACAGCCCGGCCTCAGGCCCCGGCCACGGTGGGATTAGCGTTTCGTCTGAGTGGTGAGTAGTTCATCTTCTAACCCACCTCAATCCTAGATTTTACTGTGAGCTTATTCGCTTGATCTGAACTCAGGTTTAGGGAAAAAAAGATAACAGCCAAATTCTACATTCTGGATTCTGGTTTACACTAAGCAACTTGTCACATCGATGCGCTATACAATCCAAATTATCTCTAAAGTTCCAAAAACATACCTACCAACATTTAAGTTTCAAAATCTGGGAGTTTGTAGTTCTGTTGTAGCATATATATCAGGCCACAGACCGTGAGTCGTTTGGTATCATACCGCAAGTTGATGCTTGGGTGTGAAATTTGTGGTTTTCAGGGTTTTTAACGTTATTTTTTCATAGTTAACTCGGTTTCCCTGGGTCTTTTCTCGTGTGTTATGAATAAATCTTCTTTTTTTTTTTCTTCTTTTTTTTGGGTACCGGTACTGGTTTTATTTTGTTGTATTTATCCGCGACACCTTAAAGGGCGGCTCGTGAAAAGATTGTCGAACATAAACCGGTCCGTGGCGCAAAAAAGGTTGGGGACCGCTGGTTTAACGTACATGCACATATCCAAAATGTTGCTTTTTGTGAAAAATTTGTCCTCAAAAGAATGTACTACTAAAAAAAAAAAAAGAGTCTGCATCAAGCAAAGATGAGCTGGTTCTGCTGTTTTTAAACAAGAAAATGAAGAACCGGAGATTCCAGGTTTGTCCAGTTCCGATAAGAAGGCAGAATTTCATGGTTTGGTACAGGAGTTGAAGCTGTATCACGATGTCAGTGGGGCAGTTTGAACCCTTGTTTGGCAGAGTTGGGACCACATCTGAGGAGGCAAAGAAATCATTTCAGAGAACCGACTAACGGCGTTTAGCTGTGTCTGAGCTGAAATTGTATTATGTTACTATTTGTGTATTCAGTATCGGTGTACATTTGGAGCTACAAGCACACTTGTTGGTAATTGCAGTGGTCTGATTGGTGACGCCTGTTCATTCACATGATAAAAATTGAGCTTGATCCCAAAAAATTAGTACTATAAAATTACGCAGTCGGTGGGACTGGCTGCACCAAAATGCTCGCAAGAATCTTTCACGCCCAGCATGTAAAGGCTTTAAGTACTTTCCTGAATAACTTTAATAGGATATGTTCCCACCACAACTAATGGGTAAGCAAAGCTAGTCATAGTTTGCTGTTTGAACTGTAAGTTATTGTAATATGTTATCCTCTTTCAAGCCAAATGTGAGCTATAACCACTTCTGTTAAATTGTCCAGCTTTTAAAGAAAATTGTTGCAACTTGTTGTCTACAGTTGGAAAGAGGCGTTTATATTTTTACAAGTTTTTGATTATGTGTTATTAACTGTGGAAGCTCGGTTTGGTAAATGTGTCCAACTTAGCAAAGTCCATCACCCTGTGTCACACACACTGAAATGGGTACATATGTGGCTGAACTCATCATTGTTTATGTCTTGCGATTTTACTGCGTCTTTGTAGTAAAGAAAGATGAAATGGTAAAAAGAGGTAATTTATTTAGAACTCAGCTGTGGTGTCTGTGTAGAGATTGGCAAGGCACATCCTTTGAATCGGGTTGCCAGTTTGTGCCGCCAGATGGGTTGAAATTGTATTTGGAGTGTGTACTGTGTGTGCATTTCATAGACAATCTGGCAAATTGGGCAAAGTTGGCTCAACGTACAAAACGTACTGATCCGTGTATTCCATTTATTCATGGTAAAGTTTAAGAGTCGTGCAGGTTTGGGAGTTTTCTGAGAGAAACCGACTGCCGGGAGATGGTCTTAAAATACAAGTGAAAACAGGAAAAATGGGAATGTTGCCAGAAAAGATTGCCAGAGCTTTTCAAAGAGTTTTTCTTTGTCACTCAGTAAATGCCATTTTTTTTCCAGTGGAAGAAGGAAAATACTTTTTAACTTATTCAGTGTTCAACATTGGTCTAGTTGTCCAAAACAAACACTTTGTGACTTTTTGGCATTTTAAAAACTGTTATTTTAAAATTCAGGTCCCCCTGGATACAAAATTATTCATTTCTTTGGATCTCCTTTCATGTTACTTTGATCTCTTTCCAGAATTTAATGTCTCTTTTGTCTCTCTCTGTGTTTTAACTTTCTGTCGTTCTCCCAGATGATTCCTTTGAGCAGCTGAGGATTGAGCCCTTCTCCACTCCCCCTGAGCTCCCCGACGTCATGAAGCCCCAGGATTCAGGCAGCACAGCCAACGAGCAGGCTGTACAGTGAGCTCAGAGGCGGGGGAAACGAGAGGGACACACAGGGGGTCGAAGGGAGGGGTTGAATTTTTGGGAAGTGATGCCTCAGCGGGTGAAGTTTTGCCTTGCCGACGACCAATCTTCAGCTGGGCGTAAACAATTTCAAACGCGGATTCCCCCTTGGTGTAAATGTGAGGGTGCTTCAAAGTGGTTCATTTTGTCCTGAAATCGGCGAACGCATGCTAGATAAATTGATAATTACACAAAAGACCCCACAGAGATACCTGACGGACTTGTCACGACACTGTCAGTCATCCACGGGGTTGGTAAAGGCTGAACATGAATAATTGTACCTCGTATTTAATGAATTCTAGTCTTTATTTGGAATAAGGCTGATGCTGCCTTACTTGTGTTCTTTAATTTGCTGGCTTCAGAGTGGGATTTGACAAGGTGTCGCATTTTTAGGTTTTTATGTTTGTGTTTCTTTATTAAAATATTACTAGGATTAACTTTTTTGGGGGGTGGTTTGGATATGTGTTGCTGCAATAGCTTGGAGTTTGTGAATATCTAAGTTACTGAGACTGAATGACTCATTTGGATCTTCAGTACACGTCTTCAGGCATAGCAGCAATCAAAATTCAAGTTGTGGCGATTATTCTTTACTTTTCCCTTCTTAACATTGATGGAGACCTCTTCACCTTTCCTCAGCAACGATTGGTTGTAGCCTGTGACTTGCTTGACAGTCTGAAGTGAAGAGGTGACACGTCGTGGTTAAATTATGAGCTGTGCCTGGCTGCTTATTTTGCCTCCCATTTATCCCGGAACCATAGCTCATTTATGTCATGCTGCAGTTTGTGCTGTATTTTACACTGTTAATACCATAATGCGTATTATTTTCAAAAAATAAAATTGTATTAGAAATAAACACTTCTGCACATCAAAACTTCACATTATGGTGTAACACTGGGTCTCATGATCTAGAAACTTAATGATTACAAAAACAAAAAAAAAGTCTGTTATTACAGGAAGAAGATGTAATGGCCTGGTGGGTGTGGGAAAAGACGCTGTTTAATATTACATTTAAAAGCATATTTGAAGAGTGAGGCTGTTAAACAGTGGGATGTGATGATCAAAGTTGCACTTGTAACTGGTTTAACATTAAAAGAATTGTTTTTCACATCTGTGTACTGTTGTGTGTTTGTACAATTTAAAGTGATCTTTGAACATAGACGGTGTAAAATGTTGCCCACAGCCACTGTGGCCTTGATGAAGCCACGATGTTGGTGTTTTAGCAGCTGCTGTTAAAACACCACAAGCTACTTAGGAGGTCTGTACCGCACAGAAAATCATATTTCGGGAAATCTGACAAGTGGATGACTTATTTAAACACACAGATTGTAAAGCTGTTATGAATGACGAAACTATCCATAGGAGCCAAAAGCCATTGTTGAGCCAGGCTGTAAATCTGTGAATTTTAATATTGAAATCTGTTGAAGCCAGCTTTAGAAGTTTGATTTGATGAATTGTGCAGCAATTCATCAAATCCACAAATGGATTTTCCTTACAAATGTGCCACCATTTAAGGCAGGGGTGGGAGAACTCAAGGACCCGTGTCCTGCAGGTTTTAGATGTCTTTGATCCAACACAGCTGATTTAGATGGCTAAATTCTTCCTCAACATGTCTTGAAGTTCTCCGGAGGCCTGCTAATGAACTAGTCCTTTGATTCAGGTGTGTTGACCAAGGGTGATATCTAAAACCAAGACACCAGATTTTGAGGCCTGGAGTTCCCCACCCCTGATTTAAGAGGAAATAAGCAGGCTGTCCGATGGTATAAGATTTATTGCCAAGAAGCGCTGTTGTAACAAAGGACTTACTTTATGTGCCAAGCTCATTTTTTGTGTTATACATCATGTAGCACTGTTTCTGTTTTTTAAGGACCAACGTCTTGCTTAATCTGGCGTCGTCCAGCACTGGGCAGGTTCTACTGGTGTGTATTAAATTGGCTTTCTAACTAATAAGGAACTTTATTCAGCCAGAATGTAATTTGGCAGGATATGTGTTGTTTACTCTGAATGATAGTAGGACCCAGAACTGGGCATTGCTTCGTCTAAAAATCTAAACCACTAAACTGCGAAGTGCAGTCTCTTATTTATCCTGTCTTTTAATTACTGCTATAATTATGGATATCAATCTTTTGGTTTTCTGTTATATAATGTTCTGGCTCTTTTCTATTTACTATCTACTTCACTGGAAAGCATCAAAATTGGACTGAAACAACCAAAATAGTGACGATAACAGAAGAAGTTGGGACTTTTTATTGCCTGTGGTGTAAATAACCTCCTTTTAGGAAAATCTTCTTGTTGACTTAAAAATAGATTTGACCATTCTTATTTATTTTCACCTTTAACTTTATGAGACATTTCTTTAACACAGTATTCAAATGAACAAAACAATATGTGACTGTAATTAAATATGCTGGGTCTACTTTCAAGAGGTAAATAAATCAAGACAAAAAAAGTGATAACTCTATCAACATTTCAACTTTGCCAGAGCACTGACATCAGAAACATATCTGTACAAACTAATACAAACACTAATTTGTGAAAATGTTTAAAAATTTCTCAAAAGATATTTTTCACATTGCAGTCCAAAACCAAATGTGTATAATATTTATTGTGTTCATATTGTAAATACAAATTAACAATTTTTAAAGTTACACTAGTAAAATAATAACAGATTTTTTGATTAATGAACTTTCTAATAAGTATTAGAAAGGCTGCTTAGCAATCTCTCAAATCAGTTTTTGAATTGTTTTTTTTTTCCACTTAACGTAATGTGACTTATTTTGTCCTTGTTCTGTCTCTGTATTGCTCACTGTTTGATTTATTTAATTTACTTTTTTTATTGTCTGTGTACCATTTTTTTACACTTCTATTTATAATGATGAAGAAAAACTTTTGTGTGCTCATACGGTCACTGTCTTTCAACGTCTCAGTGACTCTGCCAAAATTCCGACAGTCCCTGAAAGCAGCAAACATTAGCTAGCTAGCCAGCGGGATAGATTAGCATAGTGCTAACAACAGAATGGGCTTGCAACTGCTTGAAAGGACCGGTGACCTCTGCTTGGCTTCCATGCTCTGAAAGCATCTTGTTTCTCTATCGCCGGTATTAAAAAAATGGATGTCAGTGAATGTGTTTTATCGGCAGGCAGGGCCGTGCTGGACATGGTGGAACGGGAGTGGCAGCCTCTGTCTGCGGGCGAGCTGGAGCACAGGCTGGACCAGGCGGTGGAAGAGATCCTGGAGTCACAGCTCCTGGCAAAACTGGAAAAGCAGTCCCATCGTCGTCCTCCTCCTACCAATACTATTTACGTACAGTTAACACAGAATCAGGTGGGGCCCCAAGTTTTACACACAGCAACAACATCCAGTCCGTCCGAGCAGGAGGAAGAGAAAGAGGAGGAGGCTGCAGAGTCCCAGGAGCAGGTTGATACTGTGGATAATCCAGCGATCAAGGTAGTTTTGTGGCTTTAGTTTTCCTCTGAGAAAGCGTTTTACAGTTTTCAACTACTATTAAAAACAATAGTGACAATTTTTGGCCAGTTTTTTTAATTTTCAAACTCAAATTTAACATGATATTCAAAAATCAATTAAAAAGAATTTGAACCTGAATATGAGATAAACTAAGGAATTTCTAAAGTGTACCAATCATGTATAACAATGCCTTTAATCAAATTATAAGCTCTGCATTTCATATGTTTGTCGTTACTCCTTAATCTGATAACTTTTTGCTGGATTCATTTGTTTTATCTCACCAAAAAAAGTGGAAAATGCATCTTTTTCTTTGAGATGTGGCTGACATCCCAGTAGAAAACCAGAAACTGTGCATGAGCTGGAAGGAGAAGAAAGTGGATACATGCCTATTAAATACTGTTGTATTTTGTTTGTGTCTCTGTGTTTCACCAGTACATTTCAGACCTACTTCAAAGCTCCAAATCAAGGACACGAATGGCTGGACGGGCTCGCTTATCAATGTCCCACACTGTCCTCCTGTCTCTCACACTGCTGTCCGAGCGAGTCAGTTACCGCACTGTGTCCCGCCGCTTCCAGCTGGAGAAGGGAAACATCCACAGGATCTTCTTCTCTTTCTGCCAGCGCATAAACATGCTGGAAGAGAGGCACATCAAATGGCCAGCTGGTGTGTTAATTTGTTGGGTCATTAATCATATGTGGGCAAATTATGATGATGATAATATTTTCTCTCTGTTCTTCAGGGAAAGAGGCTGTAGAGGCACTTTTCCCATTCTCCAATCTAATTGGAAAAAAGGAAGTAGAAGGAGGACAAGGTGTTCCTCAGGTTCTGGGAGTGTTGGGACACACCCGGATCCCTATTCGCCTGCCTATAGGGAAACATGATGTGGAGAGCACCATACCTGAGGTGAAGAGAATGAAGATGGAGGCCCCTCCTGACTCTTGGTTAAACCTTGAGCTTGTGTGTGACATTAGAGGCCGGTTCTTGCACTGCAGAATCAGTAAAGGATCTCATGTGGACAGAGGTCGTGCTCTAAGAGACAAACTCAAACAGAACCCTGACCTAATGCCTTCCAGCTCCTGCCTTGTGGCCAGAGCTGGCTACCCACTTACTGATCAGATTTTTACCCCGTACACAGGAAGTCACGGACCAAGAGAGGCGCTCTTTAACAAGACACTGGAGGAGCATTTTCAGATCCTAGATCAGGCCATTGCCGATCTGAGAGCCAGGTTTCGGAGGCTCACGTATCTGGATATTGGAAACTATGACCGAGCCAGAGCTGTTGTGCTGACTGCCTGTGTGTTGCATAATGTGTTTCTGGACCTAGGACAGGCGGTTCAAGGAGAGAAGGAGGAAGCCACACCCCAAGATGAAGAGGGGGAGGCGGATGACGAGGGTGTATGCAGACGTGACTCCATTACAGATTTTCTGTTTAAAAGCTCTAATCATGGAAACGCGTGAACATTTCAATTTGTTAATAAACTTCAGTTGTGCTCGTGATCCTGGCATGTTGCATTCATTAACATTTGAAGGTAGTGACTGAACCCCGAAAAAACCAACAGCAAAGGTTTCCCTGAGGTCAGAGCGGTGAAGGGATCTCTGTGGGAAAATGGGCCTCCCTCGCTCTGAGACTTCAGTAAACACATTCCAGGTTAAATTGAACACAGCATTAAATGTATTATGTAAATCACTGTCAATATTAAGAGTCGAAAGAGGATCATCCAAGATGTGCTCATTAGGTAACAACTTGTCGAGCTCTTCACTAACCAGAAGGTGACACCAATGTTTATATATTTTTTTAATACACGCTGTAGTGTATGCATTAAAAACAGTTACTAAGGGAAACCCAAAAGCATAACCTAACAGGGATGGCGGTAGCTGCCAACCTTAATATGACAACAAACCAACTTTTCATTAATTTAAATGAATGACACTTTATATTACACAGAATTCATTCATCAAGAGTTTAGCTTTTTTTTTAATTTAATCATCTCCATAGTGTGGTGTTAATGCATTTTCCTAACACACAAAAGATCTATAGTCCAAGATTGGGAGGAAGGCGTGTCAGGAATGTCACCGCAAATCAAATAGACTTATACGGCAAGGCCGGGATGGTCCATTTGGTAAAGTAAATCTGTTGGGCATCTTTATTGGCCTTTAGACAATAATTCTGATGGCAAAAGAACCAAACGGGACAGGCGGGAAAAAAAAGGAATGGCACTGCGTGTAAAAATCTGGCAAGTCAAATATGTGGATCTACTGCGGTGACCCTTTGTGAATAAAGGAGCAGCTGAAAGAAGATTACTCTTAATCCTTGACAAAGTTAGTTCTAAGTAAATTCTTCTCTGTGTTCAAATCAGGCACCTGGTAGACAGGAAGACCTAAAAAAGAGCCTAAATTTAAAGTTTAGAAACCACAATAGCATGAAATGTGTTCTGTCATGAAAGTATCGTCACATTATATGTCGCAAAGCGCTGTCCCATTTCTACTTTCCTCAATTAGAGCCCTTGCAGTCTCACACACTCAGTCACCTATGAGGTGTTTAGGTCTTCTCCCCCTGCATATTTCACCTCTAGCTTGAGCAAGTTGTCATATTAGAGTAGTAATAAGAAGATGCACGGGGGTAACTTCCAGTATTTTTTGTACCATCCTCTAAGGTAATAGACAGCCAGAGCCTGTTTCTGCGCTAATGCTCAGTGGTTAGCCCTGTCACACTGCATTATTGCTACTTATGCTAATAATTTGTTTTAAAACTAAATAACTATATGTGCTGGAAAGATTTGCAGGAAGCTTTCAGCATAAAAAACACACAACAGAGACAGAGTTATAAACAAAGAGTATCTTATTAATACTTTAACATTTATACCAGTATCTTCATTAATCCCATTACTGAAATCTGCATTGTATTTGACTGCTTTTGGCCCGGCAATGGTTACTTTATTTACGTACAGTTTATTTTCGTACAGTTCTTTGACAGATGGGGGTGGATGCCCCATTTGTGTGTACTCTTCAACTTCATCCAAGTTTTCTATTTTGGTATAAAAATAAAAGATTCTTACATTATTTTGAGCACCAGGAGGAAAAAAGAGACAGGTTTAAAGAGAACTGTAATCTGCCTGCTGTGTTAAAGGTGAGTCTGGCCTCATACTGTACACCTGCTAATCCAAGCTACTCTGTAAACTGTAACGGTAAAAATGTGAAAAAGTCTACAAACATTAGACATTGCAAACGAGCTGTTCTTCTCATGCAATGTTGGAAGGTCTTGGTAATTTCGCGTTTCCTCTCTCCTAATGTCCATCCTTTGATGTCTGTGTGCCGTTCTTCTGAGCCAGGCTGGAGATGGCTTGGGCCAGGTTGTTGATGGCCTCTATTTTTCGCTCCTCCAGTGCTTTCTGCTGCGCCCACATGTTCATCTTCCTCTCCTGCAGCTCCATGTACAGCTGCAGGACATCCTGCGGAGGCCTGGTGGGGCAGGGAGCAGCTGTTGCAGGAGGCGTAGGGAGGATAGGGGTAAACCTCTTGCTCGCTATAGCTTTTCCTACTTTGGTCCCGCTGAGTTTGGCCCTGCGCTGGGCTTCGATCTCCTCCCTGCTCTTACCCAGGACTTCGTGCATAGCTTTGAAGAACTCCCAGTGGACGCTGGTCACTCCCAACCTCTTGGCCCTCTCTGCGTTTTTTCTGTATGTGGCCAGCATGTTTCTCCACTTGAGATCACATTCGTACGCCTTCACAGTGACATCAGTGACCTCTGACTCCCTCAATTTGGCATTGACCTTCTCTGCAACCATTTCCCAGAGTTTCTTTTTCTTGCACACTGGCTGGTCAAAGGCCTGATCCATTTCAAGCCGGGTATTGACTAGATGCCATGTAGCCTGAACTGTCCAGATAAATTCTAGGAGTGAAAAAAGGTAGATGATCAGATCGACTGCTTTTTTTGGGAGTTATTAAAGACAATGCCTTGGTCTACAGTACAGTTTTTCTTAAAATGCTGAACATCATGAGTACAACTACAACTGCAATACAACTACAATTAAGTTTTTCTGCGTTATGGTATACTGCACTATATTTTGGATGCATATCTTGTTCTTGATCTATATTTTAAAGCTATAGTCACATATTAAGTTTAAAAATATAAATAAAACTATTCCAATAATAATACTAATAAAACCAACCATAAAATAATGTACCGGTATATGATTTTGTATTAAGTACTACATCAAGTACTTTTATTGTAGGTACTTTGTATGCTTAACTTTTACTTAACTGAAAGGGTGTGTAAATGCATATTTAGCTACATTGCAAAGCAGTTTTTATTGAATACAAATTCTGTGCAGTGCTACTTTTAATGCAATAAACCAGGTTGTTGTTGTTCTTGCCCCCCCAATTCTCATTCTCCACCCCATACAAAAAAAAAAAAAAAAAATCCTGGAAACGTTCCTGCTGAGTACTAACCTGCTTTTGTTTTATCCGTATCCACACTGGACACGACCGTTTCCTTTCCTTCCACTTCAGAGTTTTGTATCACAATTGTCTCGATTACCTCCATCTTATTAAAAGCACAACCATTACAGTTAAAGTTGTTTTGTTTTTTTAAATTTACTAGCGGTGTATCTATCGCGGAATTTAACAACATCCAAGAGTCACCGATGCCCTCTCTCGCGTCGAGAAAGACGATGACTATAACAACGTCGCTTGGTAGCTTGGAAATTGTAGTTCATTTTGGTTATTACGCCTATTCTTTTTAGTATTCTGGAATAGCGGATGAACTACAATCCCTAAACTCTTTGACTCTTTTAACGTAGGCTACGATTTGTCGCGATCATGGGGGGTGTAGTTTTTCCAAAAGGTTGGTTCGCATAAGAAGAACTGAGCGCTATCAAATTCGAACTACACGTCCCAGAGTATTTTTAACCGACCCACCTCTTCACTCCCTGCTCCCTCCCTCGGCCGACCCTGTTTTGTTGTTTGGCTAAAGATGGCGTTAGCGGCTAACCCACTCGATTGCAGTTTGTTTCACAAAAATTATTCGGCCAGTGGTAACAAAACATTGATAAAATAGAGATTTAATTCGTCATTTTGTGTGTAAAAAATATATTACACCGAGAAAATACACGTCCACTTGGTCGATTAACGTTTGCTTGGCCTTCTTACGATATAGGCCAGTTTTAAAGGGAGCGGACCGAAGCCGTCGGAACTCCATATCCCGTCGGGGAGTGCGGCGTCAGGCGGTAACACTTTCCTTTTTCATGCTGGTATCTGTAGTTCTTACCACACAAGTCGCTTTTTTCCGGAAACTTTAAAGACAATGAACTAAACCAAGAGTTGAGTATATCTAAGTGGAAAGGACATGGTATATAATTTCTCGGTGTTTTACTGGAAACGTCCAGTGATGCCTCGCGGCGCCTGTGATATTTGTTTTAATTGAGGAGGACAAATTAAAAATAAGTACACCTGTTACCTGGAAATCCGGGGGGCCATGGCTGCAGAATGTGACAGAAAAAACCCGAGAACACCTTCCAGGGAAGGACAACCATCACCAGAGTCTTCTTTGACCTGGTGCTTGACTCACATCTCCAAATCTGGATCGGGGTCTGAGCGTCAGGGACAGTCAGGCTCAGGCGGTGCCAGAGAAACGGACAAGAGGTCCAAAGTCTCCCAGTGGCGAGCGCTTGTTGCTATTAGGACGCAGCACATCAAGGGCGGCAAGGCTGGCATTGCCAGATTCAGAGGTCAGGGTGGTCTCCGGCACCTGTTGGATCTGATTAAACACCCAGAGTGCTCGAGGAAAACTCTGGATCTCGCTCTTAGCATCCTGGGCAACTGCTGCACTGAGCTGGAGACACGAATAGAGGTGAGACAAGAAATAATAGATGAGTTTGTTTATTAAAGTCACTAACTTTTAAAATGTTTTCCTACTTTCCTACAATATCAGGTGCGTAAACTTGATGGGATAAATATTGTAGGTAAGTGGTGATTTATTGTTATACTATATATTATACTTTTTAAATTTAAGCAATCTTTATCATAACTTATATCTGAAAAATGCCTGTTGTAGTGGACATCCTTAAGAAAAATGTGTCACTGGAAACAGTCCTGAACCGAGCAGCCCGCGCTTTAGGGAACTTGGCCATGGATCCAGAAAGCTCTGCACTCATCCACTCTGCAGGTATGTCTGACCTGCTTCTGTGTGTCACATCCACCTTTGTAGCTGACAGCATTTAAAATGAGCTTGAAAGCTTCCAAATGGGCTTTTTTAGTTGTAGATATATTAATATAATAATAATAATAATAATAATAATAATAATAATAATAATAATAAGCGCTGTAACAGACAGGCAAAAGTAGAGTGCTCAAAGGGCAGATTTAAAGTCGATCATTAAGGTCAAACAGGGGAAAGAGGACAATAAACAAAAAAACTGAAAGGTGATAACCAGACAGTGCAAAGATATCACATGTAATGCCATCACATAAAAGCAAGTCTATCAAAATGTGTTTTCTTT